AATAGACAGGACACCACGGGGCACTTAGATGCTCATTCTGGGGACCTTCCTGCAGCCACTCGCTCCACTCGTGCGTCGAAGCTGCGTCGAACCTGAGTCGAACCTGAGTCGAACATGAGTCGAACCTGAGTCGAATATGAGTCGAACCTGAGTCGAACCTGAGTCGAACTTGAGTCGAACCTGAGTCGAACAGATCCATTAGGTGGCCCCCAGGAAGGTCCCCAAAACGAGCATCGAAGGGCACCGCACAACGGGACACCACGGGACACCACGGGACACCACGGGACACCGCGCCGCGGGACACCACAGGACACCGAGGGACACGGGCAGGACACCAGCGGGACAACCCCACGAGCCACCGCCGGCCACCCCCGGGGGCGTCGAGTCATGGAGCGCAGGGGTTTGCCCTGTCCACGGCGGGTTCAATTCCCCCTTTGGACGCCCGAAATGGGTACTGCAAGAATGGGCACAATGCCCAACAACAAATGTTGTCCCAAGGCAACAGCGGCCGCTGTTGGGCAGGCGACCTTCTGTCTCGAATGGACACAGGCTGCGGCGGCGCGGACAGCGAATCCTGTTCAAGATGAACAGGAATTGTTGTTGGGCATTTGACCCATTCTTTCGGTACCCATTTCGGGCGGACTCCCGCCCGCCCACGCAGCTTCGCCTCGCCGGCACACACGGCACGAACACGGAACCGAACTCGAAACCGATCTTCCAGAGGGAGACTCCCTGGCACTTCGAGCTCACCCCCTAACCTCGGATACACACGTGCGTGTCGCTCTGTCGCTGTTCCTGTTTCACGCCTCCAACCGTCCACGACCTCATCGTGTTCTTGGTCAGAGTCCCTCATACTCCTCCTCTTCGTCCGGCTTCTGCGACTCCGCCTGCTCCGAGGCCTCCTCCTCCTCCTCCTCCTCCTCCTCCTCCTCCTCCTCCTCCTCCCCCTCCTCCTCATAAGCCCCCTGTTCCTGCTCCTAAGACTCCTCCTCCTCTTCCTCTTCCTCCTAAACTTCCTCCTCCTCCACTCCCCTCCTCATTTTTAACGTTTCGTGTAGCGGTCGACCAAAACAGAAAGCAGCAACCCAAACCAGAACAAACACGGCCCCCCCTGGGCCCAAAACTAGCGGAAACTGCCAAACAAACACAAAAACCAAAACAACAACCCCATCTAGACAAAAATTAACATATACCATATACGTGAAACCTTATCAAACTGCGATTAAACTCAAGTTTAATTTCTCCCAACGTTTACCGAACGCAAAACGAAGCGAAACCGGAGAGACGGCAACCACAAATCAGAACAATCAAATCAACTGCCCTAAAAACCTACAACAACAACAAAAACGCCGACCCTGAACACTGAGAAAGAAGGACGCATTAACACAATCCATCTAAGGGTGTGCCCGCGCTAATGGATAGGACCAGGCAAGAGCAAGGGTGGAACAAACAACCAGAACAGACAAATCATCGGAATGTTGCTCTAGCAGCGGTAGCACGAAGAAGAGGATGCGAGGGCCAAGCCGCTGACGTCATGATTGCGTGACTCCCGCCACTGCTATTTGCCGTTCTTGCCTCCGCACGCCCCCGTCGGGCCCTGCGCCACCAAACACTTCTCCGGGACGAGACTGGGACCCCCGATCGGGGTCGGGAGCTCAGGGGCCAACAGATTGGGCAAGTCAGGGCGCCCACGGCCCGAGGAGGCAGAAGAGACGTCGAGGCGCGACGAGGAACCACAACGCACGTCATGACATGGGAGGCACGGCCAGGTCGCATGGTGAGGCTGCGCGGCAGGGATGCACGGGCCCTGGAGGGCCACGTTGGCGCTTTCGAACGTCGGGGATGGACAGACCCCCCTTCAGTAAAACGTGGTTTGATGAAAACGACCTGAGGCCCAAACCTGGCGGGCGCAGGCCTGGAAAATCACGGCCACGGCGCCCCCTCGAGAACCGAGAACGGACAGTGCACGAATCGACGTGTCACTGGTGGGGGTCCTGTCCACCCCCGAGACCGGGAGCGGCCGGCGAGAGTCGCCGAGGATGGGCCGACGAGGCGAGGATGCCCGGAGAGCTGCTCGGGAGGACGAGGAGGAGTCGCGGGGGGGGGGGGGGCACGGCGGGAGCACGGCGGGAGGAGGACGGCGGAGGGGCGCTGGACGAGCAGCGACCGCCGAGGGCAGCGACAGCCCCATGGAGGCGCCCCCCTCGGGCGAGCGCGGAGCGGCAGCCGGCGAGCCACGAGCACGAGCGCGACGGCCTCGGCCGCGCGGCCCCCGCGCCCCTCTCTCCGGTGCTGCTCGAAGGGCCCCTGGCCCAAGGTGCCCCCAGCTGCTCGTTCGATGTTGGGGCCTCGGGGGCCCTCCGGGCCTCGTGAGGGTGTGCTCTGGAGGCCGAAGGGGCCTCCCTAGTGCGGGCAATACTTGGGTCCATATCCACTGCAGTATGAGTTTCGGGCTCCCTTCCCAAGAAACCCGAGGCGCAGTGGGTATGGATAAATTTGCCCCCTAGAGGCTCGATTTTTATCCATATCCAGTGCGCCTCGGCCTTGTGGCGCCGCTTCCCAAAAAGTCCACGAGGTACTGGATATGGACATTAATCTTGCCCGCACTTAGAAAGCCTGGGGGCACCTCGGGCCAGGGACACTTCTGGCAACACCCGGCTCTCTTTTTCCGCCGCGCCTCAAGGCGGCCGGACGAGGACGACCGCCCGAGGGTCCTCAGGCCGTGGCCCACGGCCCTCAGCCCGGTGTTCCAGGACCTCGGCGGGATCGGCCCGTAACGAGGACGGGGAGGACGAAGAGGAGGAGGGGGAGGGGGTGGAGGAGGAGGAGGAGGAGGAGGAGGAGGCGGAGGAGGCGGAGGAGGAGGCGGAGGAGGCGGAGGAGGAGGAGGAGGAGTCAGAGGAGGAGGAGGAGAACGAGGATCGCATCGAGACGCGCATCGGAAGCGGGCTGCACGGGCACAGAGTCGGAGAGTCGAATCTCGGGCCGGCCGCGCCAGGGGGCACTGCGGCGGCATGCAGACAGCAAGGGGCAGCGGAGGCGACAACGCCAACGCCAGCGACGACGACGCTATCGTCGACGACGACGCCATCGTCGACGCCGTCGACGACGACGACGCGAACACCGCCGATGACTTGAGAGCGCATGAAGTGATACAACCTGAGATCGTCCTAGAGGGCCTTCCCCTAGAATCCCGATAACTCAAGGACACAATTCCACTTTTATTCCCAGAATCCCCGAGAGTGCATAACCCATAGTGTGCCATGGACGCTGATCAGTAAGCCATGACATATCGCGGACACTGAGGACGAACATCATCCGTACCCCACATTACCTACGTTCGCATATCTGACTCGTATTACACATGGTATGCCTACAAAACGATTTCAAATTAACCTCATGAATTACTGGGATCACCGTCTGGGATTCAAGGACCTCCTGGAGACCTTCCGGAGCCCGACCTCACGGAGTACGCTCCCGAAAACTAAATTTTGTAGAGGAAAACAGATTTAAACTATCCACGGATCCGCCTCCCGGGCCCGACCTCCCGGAGACCTCCCAGAACATTATTCCCGCTGATCCCAGGACGCTAATTCCCTTGAGTTAAATCATGCCCCTCAAGGTAGCATGATTTCGATGATTCGTGATGGTGATGACGACGATGACGGTGATCGGGTGGCCACTGGCAAGACCTACAATGAGCCCATGATAGTAAATTACTGTCCCAATGAACGGCGCGCCGACCACGAACACGAGGTCTTTGTGTCACTTCACGCGCCCTCAACCGAGGACGCCAACGCCGCCGATGATAAGGCGACGCTGACGCCGACGCCAACGCCGATGCCGACGCCGACGTCAACGACGACAACGAGGCTAACGCCGCTGATTGAAGGGGCCCTGGGACACACAAATAAATACACACACAAATAAAAACATCCCCATATTTTCATATATTTTCTGGGTTTCTGTCTTCCCCCCCACTTCCCATATTGTCCCATATTTTCCTGGGAGTCGACGATGAATTGTGTCTGTATGTTTTTTTCCCCTCCTGACTGACGCCGACGCCGACGCCGACGCCGCCGCCGCCGCCGCTGAGGCCACCGACGGCGGGGGCGGCGGCGGCGGCCATGGGCCTCGGGCTGCGCGGCGCGGGCGCCGGGGCCGCGCCGCCCGGCTCCGGGAAGGGGGGCAGGCCCTCCGCCTCATGGGCGGGGGGAGGAGGAGGAGGAGGAGGAGGAGGAAGGGGAGGAGGAGGAGGAGGAGGAGGAGGAGGAGGAGGAGGAGGAAGAGGAGGAGGAGGAGGAGGAGGAGGAGGAGGAGGAGGAGGAAGAGGAGGAGGCGGAGGAGGAGGAGGAGAAGGAGGAGGAAGAGGAGGAGGAGGGCGTCGTGGGCGAAACACCGCCCGGCGTCACGAAAAGATGTACACAGACGCCCTCCGACGAACTCTGCATACAGTCGGGGTCTCGACCTAAGGAACCCAAAATAAGAAAAACGAGGCCCCTTTTCTCCAGAAGTTAAACCTCGACTTCCGATCGAAAACCTAAGGGAAACCTGGGGCAAGCTGCCAAACACCTAAGGAACGCGGAGCCCCTCCCCAACGAAAAGGGTTCCTTCTTCAGGGCCCCCCCTGTACACAGACGCCCTCCGCCGAACTCTGCACAGGGAGGGGGCGGTGTCTAAAGTCGCCGGCTCCCAGCGGTGGTTTACACCCCCTGCCACCCTCCACCGATGCCCAGGAGCAATCCAGTATAGAGGGCGTCTGTGCATTCTTTGTTGCGGCGGACGCCTGGCGCCAGGGAGGGCAAGAGGCACCCAAAAGCCTCGGCCCTCCGGGCTCGATCCTCGAGACCTCCATCATCGAGGCTTCGCCCAGTCCTCAATCCCCAATCCTCGATCCACGAGTTAGCATCGAATCCAATTTACTCGATCCTCGAGCCTCGAACTCGTGGGCGAAAAACATTCGTGTATACGGCTTCGCGGGCTGGGCTCCTGGGCCGCGACCCCGCGGCTATAGGGCGTTTTGTTCGCGGATGCCCGCTCGGCTTGTATCCGTACAACCGCGTAAACGCGGGATCGCGGCGCGGCACGCCGCATTAGAAGCGGGGGCGTTTACGCGCGCCCTACGCGGGCAGCTTACGCGCGAATGTCGGCACAATCGAACCCGTCTTGCTGCGTCGCTCAAATGTTTGACAGTTTGGGCTTGCTCGTTCGGGCGCAGCTTTAAGAACCTCGTGGCCCCTCTTGGCCATCGGGGGACCTCGGAAGGGAGGGAGGAGGGGAGAACGAGAGCAGGGAGTGAGCTCGGGAAGCGGGGAGCAGAGATGAGGGAGAGAGGGGAGGAGGACGAGAGCAGTGGAGTGGGGGAGCTCAGGGAGGGTCCCCGACCTAGATCCAAGGAGGACCTCTCCTGAGCCCGAAGTGGACATTACTTCAACGCCTTTGACTGTAAGAAGTGACGGAGAGAGAGAGAGAGAGAGAGAGAGAGAGAGAGAAAACAAACACAAACAGAAACAGAGACAGAGACAGAGGCAGAGGGCCACCATGCTCGGGCGCACGGCGTCAAGGTCGCGCCGCCGGGGCGGGGGTGCGAAGGCACCCTCTTGGCCCGGCGAGCCCGTGCCGATGTCCCGCAAGGCGTGCTTGACGCTGCTGAGCTGCCTCCTCACCGTCTTCGGCACCTGGAGGGACTGGAGACAGAACACGCACAAAGAGATATGTGTCCCCACACGGCAAGATGGGGCTGTTAAACAATTGTCTTTTAACACGATTTTTTTATGCATACAAAAAAACGTCCGACCACCCTGCATGCCACGGCCGCCAGCCTCCACAAGATTCCGAAGGCTCCCTGAGTGTTCCACCCCGCGCCATTGACAAATGACGACACCATACCGCGGTCGCCAGACCCACAGGATCCCGAGTCGCTGAGTGTCCCGCCTCGCGTCCTCAACGCATGATGACACCCTGCATGCCAGACAACCAAGGGGGAATGCGTCACCTCGTCAAACCGTCCAGGCGTCACGCGGCATGAGCAAAGAGGCATGAAGAATCGGCATTCAGAGCGCATAGCAAAATCTGGCAGTCATATCAAACAAGTCAGAACGTGGCAAGACAGAACATGACATACGATGCAGTAGTGAAACGAGCTAGAACGGCCAAGTCCTAGCATAACACAACAATACATTTCCGAACATACCATACGATCACAACATATAACACACCACATCATACTATAACGTGGCACCACACACCGTGAAATAACATCATACATCATGGCAAGACATAACGGATCATAATGGAGTGCCGCATAAACAGTCACAACATCACATGAACGACATTGTTCGGCTACTGCGACCACTGTGCGGGCGCCTGCAAAATAACGAAAGATAAAGTCATACATAATGGTATGGGTACCCTAGAACATGAACATACCATATCGTAATCAGATGGGCCGAGCACGGTGTAACACACAATAGCATGACATGGCACAGCACATAATACCATGGCATACCATAACATAACAACTACACTCTGGCAACACATGCCGCACCATACAATGACTGATCAGACCGTGGCGACGCAAACCATAACCGACTACATTATGCCACAGCATAGCATAGCGGTTCTATCATCGCTGCAACTGCAGCAACGAAGCTAATCACATGCACGATATAATATACAACGCAATTGCATTTAACTACCCGTATGTAGTAGCACGTGTCATATCATACCGACCAGCGTACCACACACCACAGCACAACAATGCATCGTTAGCCAGCGAAGGTCCAACACACTGTGTTACGAACAATCTGACTTGTCGGATCTGTGGGGCGCTATACGTGTTGACACATACGTGTACCAATCAAAGCCATACAATCCACGTTGCGCAATACAATTGGGACAGTATGTTTGCCTCAATATATCATGTACAATCCATGTGGTGCAGTACGAGTTTTGCTACACACATATATATGTATAACAGCACCAGCTGTACAACTGTTGAAACAATGTGCGAAGTGCCATTTTGGTGGTGCAACCGAGGTTGTGCAATCTAGGTGGCGCAATCCAGGTTGTGTATTCAATGTGGGCCAATCAATGTGGTGCAACTCACATGTGGAACTCGCAATTAACGACTCCACTGCTCGCGCAAACACACCACCCACCCACCCGGAACTTGGTTTGCAAAACTAGCGTGGAGGCGATCGCGATGAATGCTTGATGTTGGTTGGTGCATCTCTACGGCCAAGCTAGCCCGCGTATGCTCGCGCGCGCAGCGGCCAGCTAGTTTGGCGCGACTGGCGCGGCCGCGGCTGCGCTGACCGCTGGGCACATCCCAGCGTGCACTTGGGTAGCCGCATGATCATAGCAACGCCGACAACGGTAGGCACGATGATGATACTAGAGATGCTTGAACCGATGTTGACAACGACAACAGCACGGCCAATCACGGCGCCGATGATGATCACGCTGGCAACGATGACAGCGTCCTCGCGTCGGTGACGAAACTTTGCAAAGAATTTAACACGCACGCGCAACCGACGCGAGGACGCGCACGCGAAACCCGGTTTGTAGAAATATATAAAATGTTACACTACTCATGTTTTGTATATAAATTCGCAAGGGAACGCAGAATTCGTTTGAAAATCCGAGTTGCGAAACGATATTTGTTGATTTCGGGACATTCGATTTTGGAATCCTTGCGACACCCAACGTTTCTGCAAGATTTCTGTACGCGCGCGCGACGACTTGCGCGTGCGCACTTCGTGCAACATGTTGCAAAAGACGATTGAAATGTTTGATAATTAACGCATCGAATTGTTTCGAAGGCTGAGGAAAGGAACCGTTACCAGCTTGCCCGGATGATAGGAGCTCATATTCAAGATGGGCGTTGGGGCACAATCGTAAACAAATTGCAATCCGAAAGATGGAGCGGCTAGTCCAGGGGGAGATCCGAATACTTGTTTACAGTGGAGAATGCTGATGGTTCAATCGACGTTGTGCCATTTCTGTGGTGCGAGATATGTTGTGCAACGGTCGGCGGCGACGGTGCTGAGCAGCGACGGCGACACCAGAGCCTCCAGACCGCCAGCCAGGCCCAAAACACGGGCGGCAATGATGTGGCGACGGCGCCAACATGGCCACCTGACCACCACGCACCCCCAGACCACGGGAGGCGAACAAGCGGCGACGGGGCGGCGACGGCGACAACATATCGCCAGACCGCAACACATGTCCAGACGACAGGCGGCACGAAGCGGTGACGAGGGGCGATGGAAACAACATTCCCGCCATACTGCCACACAGGCCCAATTCCGTGCAAACACTGCCTTGGGAACATAACAGAACATGGCCAAGCACGACTGAACATATCATGGTATAACATACAAACTTACCGTGCTGTGACAAAACGGAGCAGACCAGAGTACGCCACACGAAAAAGTAGCATATCATCACAATAATATCCTTCGACTGTTGCCAGTACGGCAACGGCTGATCTATAAGGGATTATGGCACACTATATAGCTGAGTAGGGATACCGAGCCCACCCGACCGTGTCATACACGCATGCAACTTGACGAACCGCAGACGTATATATATATATATACATATATATAGAAGCCTAAAGTTAAAACGCACGCGCGTGTCATGAGTGTTGCACATACGACCAAACGAAAACGTCTTGCAATGGCATGTCATACCACTCGGTATCGAACAGATGGGCACCTCCAGCGCAACATGCTTGTAGCACACGGCAGTACCATGGGGTTGCAAATGCGACTGCCGAACAAAACGCGCACATGATGCGCATTCATGGAGTGCATATCCATGGCGTGCGTGGGATGCAATAGTAACAAGTTAGCAAACGTGGGCCACAGACATTGTGCTTATATCAAACCATGGCGTACGATATATGTTGTGCAATACATGTGGTGCCATTTACGCTGCGCAAGATATGTAGCACAATCTATGTGGTGCACTGTATGCTGTGCACTATGTGCTGTCTGCAACCAATGCTGTGAGCGATCCAAACACCGCGCCGTGGGCGCGAACAACACACAAGCATGTGCAACCTACGTGCTGCAATCTATGTCGAACAATGTTTGTGGTGAAAGGTATGTGGTGCCATCTACACGGTGCGATCTCTGTGGCGCAACTCACCAATGCCCAATTTGAAAATGTCCACCCCAATGCCCGCGCATACATCGCACCCACCCACCCGCAATTTGTTTTGCGAACCCCATGCCGCGGCGACTGCGATGAGTGGTTGGCGCTGGCTGGTGCATCTCTGCGGCCGCGACAGCCTACACATGCACGCGCGCGCAGTGACCAGCTACTTTGTCGCGGCCAGCGCAGCCGCGGTGTCGCTGACCGCTGAGCACATCCCCACGGGCACTTCAGTGCGAATCGGCGTCTTGGGCGGGCGCGGTATCATGGCAACGTCGTCAGCGGTAGACACAGCGATGCAACTAGGGATGCTGGCGACGATGCTGACAGCGACGACGGCACGGCCACTGTCGGCGCAAATGCTGTTCGCGCCGGCGAAATGACGGCGTCCTCGCGACGGATACTACGTTTTCGGGAAAAGAATTCGACATGCGCGCGCGGCCGACGCGCGAGAGTGGCCCGCATGGCATTATTTGACACGGACCGTGACCCCCCAACACGCGCGCAAGAGCGCGCGAATGATTTCGGCATGCGTCGCCAGAGGCCCGCTTGGCAGAATCACATGAACATGTTCAAAGCAACGCATTTTTTTCAAAAAAAAAGTTGCAAGAGCGCGAGCGCACGCTTTTTTGACCACTGGTGCTGCGAAAGCAACTGTTTTATCGATGTGTTCGTCATTCGGTTTTGAATTCGGTACGAAACCGAAGGTCATTGATTGAATTCGGTGCGAAACCGAAACCGAATTGAATTCGGTGATTGATTCCTGCATGCGCACGCGACGACACGCGCGCGTGCGTTTCGCCACATGCTTTTGCAAAGGATTCTCGCAACGGCACAAGCGCAAGGGCACACGACTTCGACATGCGCGCGCGAAGCCCGTTTGGCAGCTATGTCTTAAAATGTTGACAAACGTATGGCATTTTTAGGAACTCGCCAACGCGCGCGCACAAACTTCTTCTGAAAGTTCGTTTTGCCTAATTAATGTTTTAAATGTCATTGGACACTCGATTTTGAAATCCTTATGACACCACAGGTGTTGGAAGGATTCCGGCATGCGCGCAACTCGTCCAATTCTATTGCAGGGGATGTTTGCAAACGAGTGCGCGCGCATAGTTTTTTGACGGAAGATGGCGGGGATGGGGATACCGCCCCCCTTGAGATGGTGTAAATTCACATTGAGGATGGACGATGGGGCAGAATCGTGTGTTATTAAAGAAGGACGGATAATCCCTGGGGGGGGGTTGAATCGATTATCTTGTTGTGCATTGTGTGTGTTGTGTGGCCGATGTGGCTGTGTAAGATTTGTTGTGCAATCTAAATGGTGCACTCTATAATGTGCAATCTACATGGTGCACAATTTGTGGTTGTGCAATACATGTGGTGTACTGTATGTGGTGCAGCCGACATGGTGCAAGATACACGGTGCAATCGACGTTGTGCAAAAAGCGCGCATGCGCGAGCTCTTCCTCGTGCTATCTATGTGGTGCTATCCAACGGCGGCGACGGGCGGCGACGAGCCTGCGACGGGGTGGCGACGGTGGCCACATAACCGCCAGACCGAAGATACGGCCCAGACGACAGGCGGCGACGATGCGGCGACGGAGCGGCGACGGCAAAAACGTAGCCGACAGACCGCCACACAAACCAAACTTATCCTGGCGAAGGACCCAACCATATGCAGTTGTGGGTACCGCAATTGTGAACATTTTCTTCGGTGGAACTCCCTATGGGGCCACGAAGCGCTGCACTGGGTGGCGGGGAACGCTGTTCTGGGTGAGTGGTGTGTCAAGTAAGGCTTCCGGGACGCATGCGGACGGTCCCACTGGGGGCTTCGGTGGAGCTCCCTATGGGGCCACGAAACGCTGTACTGGGTAAACGAAAATGCCAAATTGGGCTTCCGGGACGCATGCGGACGGTCCCACTGGAGGCTTCGGTGGAACTCCCTATGGGGCCACGAAACGCTGTACTGGGTGAGTGAAAATACCAAATTGGGCAACCTGGACGCATGCGGACGGTCCCACTGGGGGCTTCGGTGGAGCTCACTAAGTGGCCACGAAACGCTGCATTGGGTCGGTAAAAAGGCGACGTTGGGTTTTCGGGACGCATGCGGACGGTGGCACTGGGGCCTTCGGTGGAGTTCCCTACGGGGCCACGAAATTCTAAACTGCGTGGGTGAAAATGCCACAATTGGTGTTTCGGGACGCTTGCGGACGGTCCCACTGGGGCCTTCGGTGGAGCTCCCTATGTGGCCACGAAGCGCTGCACTGGGTGGGTGAAAATGCCACATTGGATGTGCGGGACGCATGCGGACGGTGGCACTGGGGCCTTCGGTGGAGCTCCCTGTGGGGCCACGAAACGCTGTAATGGGTGGGTGAAAATGCCAAAGTGGGTGTTTCAGGACGCACTCCGACGGTCCCACTGGGGGCTTCGGTGGAGCTCCCTATGTGGCCACGAAGCGCTGTACTGAGTGGGGGGGACGCATGTTGACAGTAGCACTGTGACCTTTGGTGGAGCTCCCTATGGGGCCACCAAACGCTGTACTGAGTGGGGGGGACGCATGTGGACGGTGGACTGGGGCCTTCGGTGGAGCTCCCTATGGGGCCACGAAACGCTGAACTGAGCGGGGGGGACGCATGTGGACGGTGGGACTGGGGCCTTCGGTGGAGCTCCCTATGGGGCCACGAAACGCTGAACTGAGCGGGGGGACGCATGTGGACCGTGGCACTGGGGCCTTCGGTGGAGGTCCCTATGGGGCCACGAAACGCTGTACTGAGTGCGCATGTGGACGGTGGCACTGGGGCCTTCGGTGGAGCTCCCTATGGGGCCACGAAACGCTGTACTGAGCGGGGGGGACGCATGTGGACGGTGGCACTGGGGCCTTCGGTGGAGCTCCCTATGGGGCCACGAAACGCTGAACTGAGCGGGGGGACGCATGTGGACCGTGGCACTGGGGCCTTCGGTGGAGGTCCCTATGGGGCCACGAAACGCTGTACTGAGTGGAGGGGGGCGCATGTGGACGGTGGCACTGGGTCCTTCGGAGGAGCTCCCTATGGGGCCACGAAACGCTGTACTGAGTGGGGGGACGCATGTGGACCGTGGCACTGGGGCCTTCGGTGGAGCTCCCTATGGGGCCACGAAACGCTGTACTGAGTGGGGGGACGCATGTGGACGGTGGCACTGGGGCCTTCGGTGGAGCTCCCTGTGGGGCCACGAAACGCTGTACTGAGTGGGGGGAGACGCATGTGGACGGTGGCACTGGGCCTTCGGTGGAGCCCCCTGGGGCCACGAAGTGAACTGAGCGGGGGGACGCATGCGGACAGTGGCACTGGGGCATTCGGTGGAGCTCCCTATGGGGCCACGAAGCGCTGTACTGAGTGGGGGGACGCATGTGGACGGTGGCACTGGGGCCTTCGGTGGAGCTCCCTGTAGGGCCAGGAAGCGCTGTTCTGAGTGGGGGAGACGCATGTGGACGGTGGCACTGGGGCCTTCGGTGGAGCTCCCTATGGGGCCACGAAGCGCTGTACTGAGTGGGGGGACGCGTGTGGACGGTGGCACTGGGGCCTTCGGTGGGCCCCTATGGGGCCACGAAACGCTGAGTGGGGGGTGGATGGTGTACTGACGCATGTGGACGGTGGCACTGGGGCCTTCGGTGGAGCTCCCTATGGGGCCACGAAGCGCTGTACTGAGTGGGGGGGGGACGCATGTGGACGGTGGCACTGGGGCCTTCGGTGGAGCTCCCTATGGGGCCACGAAACGCTGTACTTATGTTGGGGGGGTGGACTCCCTATGGGGCCACGAAACGCTGTGGGGGGGGACGCATGTGGACGGTGGCACTGGGGTCGTCGGTGGAGCTCCCTATGGGGCCACGAAACGCTGTACTGAGTGGGGGGACGCATGTGGACGGTGGCACTGGGGCCTCCAGTGGAGTTCCCTATGGGGCTACGAAGCGCTGTACTGAGTGGGGGGGACGCATGCGGACGGTGGAGAGGAGGAGGGGGCAGAGGAGGAGAGGAGGAACGCGGGGCAATCTCTTCAAAACGAAGACCCAACAACACAAGATGGTTGGGAACAATCAGCGGAGACGAGGCGGGCATATCCGCTAGAGCGCGAAACAGGCCACGTTCCTTGGAGCAGAAGTAAAAAACCCTAAGTGCAAGCACTGTATAGGGAGTCTGACAGTAAGAGTGCAAACGTGAGTGCAACATGAGGATATCATATAATACCACATGATAATATCAAATAAGACCATGCTCATACTGGAGTAGGAGAAGAAACAAACCAACAACCCGCATCCGAACACAGACGAGTATACCATAACAATACATGTGATACGGCACAGCAGAGACTGAAACTATCGAGCAGTTTGTAGAGAAAACGACTTGAAATTGAAACAACGTTGCAAGACAGAGAGTAATGAAACAAACCAAGAGAAACATAATCGAACATCATATGACGCACTGTGCTATATTCGAATACTCCAGAATCGAAAACTGATGAATCTAACAGGAAATAATACATCAGTAACGAACACGCGGCGTCTTATAACTTTCGACGTGCGCGCCAAGGTCAGGCTGGCCTCAGGAACACAGAGGTGCATTCAAGACTCAGTGGACGGCGTATCAGACGGGACAGACGTCACGACGCAAGCCTGGCCCGACGAGAACATAATGTAGCACAACATGATAATACAATATGACATAATCGAATCGGATAGTTGAAGACAATGGAATACAGCAGTGATCAATTAATGGTGAACTATCAGAAGCCGATGTAAGGCTGGCCACATGAATGAACCCATAATGATATAACATACCATAATCAGTCATGACGCAATCGAGTACAATGTAGCAGCGACCACCAACGCCAAGGTTTCTGTGGGGCTTTCTCGAAGCGAGCTGCTTAGTTGCTACGATAATGAAGAATATCTGATGGAAGGCGGCGGGGGGTGGATGTGCCCCCCAAGAACCTAACCTTTGGAATTTGGGCAGACACACGTATGCCGGCGCGCACCAGTACTGCGCACCCACTGCTGACCTGCGCAACCGACGAGGCCAATGTATCTTGGGATGGAGGGGGGGCGGGCGTGCCCGAACCCGAGTGATCGCTGGACCCTGACAAACAGTCTCAAACCGACTGCGGTCCGCGCGGACTGCACGAATCGGCTCTAGACCTCCCTCTCCACGAACCCCTTCCACGACGCGCGGAGCCGCGCCAGGTGCACCGCCGGGGGCGCCCACCAGGGGCGGGGGGACGCGGGCTGGCATGAAGCAAGCGGGTTCTGAACCACGGAGCCTTCCCCGGGACGGGCTCTTCGTTACAGGCCTCCCACATGGGGTCCGAGAAGATGGGGTCGGAGGATCGCGCAGTATCGCCGATGCATCGCCGATGCATCGACGATGTATCGCCGAGGCATCGTCGACGTCGACGACGCGGCGGCGACGTCGACGTGAAGAGCATTGGGCTCCACATCTAGTCGCATCGCCCATGCGTGGGCGGTGCGGTGCGACCTGTCGACCCCGTCTGCTCGGACCCCGTCTGGGAGGCCGTCCCGCGCCGCGTTCGGGCCTGCCCCCGGGCCAGGCGCGGGTCCCGGGCGGGCCCGAACACCAGCGGCGAGCGAGCTCCAAGCCTGGGCCTCTCCTCCCCATTGCCGGGGCGTGCGGGGGCCAGCGCCCTCCCCAAGGACACCACGCGGAGGCCCAGAGATGGGGACCCCAAGAATATACACCACTACACCACCACCACCACGTCGATTCTTCCTCTCTCCTCTACCCTCCTCTTCCTTGAGTCTCTCCTGGGAGAGGGAGGGGGTGCGGGAGGTGGTGGTGGTGTCTATTCCTGGGCCCCCCAAGAGAACCGTGTCGCCCACCCGCCCCGCTGTCATGCCCCGCCCCGGCGCCAGCAGCTTCGCCACGCTGCCCGTGCTCGGGCCCGAGCCGCCGCGCTGCACCTGGGCCGCCTGCGCCAGCAGGTCGCCCAGGGAGCGCTCCGCCGCCTCCAGCCTCGCGGCCAGGGCCTTGTAGTCCTCCACGCTGACCTCGCTCCAGGTCCTGGCCTCCCAGTCCTGCGGGCGCGGGCCCGCGGCCCGGCTGTCCAGGTTGACGGCGAGGAGCAGAACGCTGCACGGGCATAAACATCCGGAGGTCCGCGCGGGTGTCTTGGATCGGCGCTGGAGCCCCCCACCTGGCGCGCGGAGCGCGCCAGGGGCGGCGCCGGAGGTGCTGCCAGGGGGCGTCGATTCAAGAAATCCGCGCGGACCCACGAATGTGGCGGCGAGTCTGGGGGGAAAAGAGAGGGGGCAGGCCTTCTCGGAAAGCGGCGCTCCTGTCCTCTCAGACTCCCTCTCTGACTTCGGAGAAGGCTGAGGAGCTTCTCAGGAGGCCATGACCTGCCGAGCCCGCCCCCTCTCGTCTCCCCCCTGGGCTCGCCGCCGCCGACGACGGATGTTTGTGCTTACGGCACGTTTTGCTCCTCGGAGATGAGCGCCTCGTGCATGCTGGGCAGACGTTCCTGAAGGGGCCCCAGAACACACAAATGAATACACACAGATAGAACTATCCCCTATACTTTCCCATCTGTTCTGGGTTTTTTGGTCTTCCCCCCACTTCCCATGTTTTCCCGCATTGTCCTGGGAATCGACGATCAATTGTGTCTGTGTGTTGGATGCTCGTTCTGGGGACCTTCCTGGAGCCACTCGCTCCACTCGTGCGTCGAAGCTGCGTCGAACGTCAGTCGAGTTGGGTCGACCCTGAGTCGAATCTGAGTCGAACCTGAGTCGACATTGAGTCGAACTTGAGTCGAACTGGGGTCGAACAGATCCGTCAGGTGGGCTCCAGGAAGGTCCCCAGAACGAGCATCGAATGTGTGTTTTTTCCCCTCCTGGGCTCCTCGCGGAAGGCGTCGAGCTCCCAGATGCCGGCGGCCGCGCCCGCGCCCGGGTCCGCAGGGCCCGCCGGCCCACGGCGCGCGGCCACGCAGACCCTCGGGGGCCCCTCCGAGCCGAACACCACCGCGAGCTCGTACCTCCTGGAAGGGGCCCTGGGACACACAAACAAATACACACAAATTAAAAAATATTCCATGCTTGTTTCCCATTTTTTTCTGGGTGTTTGTCTTCCCTCCCACTTCCCATATCTTCCCATATGTTTTCTGGGAGTCGACGATTCATTGTGTCTGTGTGTTTTTTCCCCTCCGGACTCTTGCCGAAGATCGGGGATGGACAGACCCCCCTTTAGTGAAACGTGGTTTCGTGAAAACGACCTGAGGCCCAAACCTGGCGGGCGCAAGCCTGGAAAATAACGGCCACGGCGCCCTCTCGAGAACCGAAAACGGACAATTCACCAATCGACGTGTCACTGTTGGGGGTTCTGTCCACCCCCGAGAAAAGAAGAAATCGGCAGACGAGAGATGACAGACAAGAAACGGGTCTTGCGCGAGGTGGCGCAGCAACAGTGGGGCCGCCAGCGTGGCACGCCGTGTGGCGAAGGGGGCGCTTGCGCGCAGCCTTCCGCTGGCAGCTCGCGCGCCAGTGTCAGTGGAGTCACCTCCTGCGGAAGAGGATATATCAGCACGTGAGCCCAAGCATTCGGAGGTCCAAGAGGCACCCAAGAGGGGCCCTACTGTAAAGGGGAGCACGAAAGGACACGTCGAGCCTTCCACCAAATGATGGCAACAAGAGACCCCCCAGAGGCCCCCGAGTTCTCCCCGAGAGGCCCCCGAGCGGCTCCCAAGACGCCACAAGACGCCCAACGAGGCCCGCAAGAGGACTCCAAGAGCCGTCCGCGAGTCCCCCGAGAACTTTGTGGGCCCCGGAAACGGCAAGGCCGTTTTTTCACCGTTTCCAACAAAAATGTCCCTTGAAATGGAAACGGCAAAAAAACGGCGACCGGAAACGGCAAAAAAACGGCTCTGGAACCGGAGCAGAAACGGGTCAAAACACGGCGTCGGAACCGGCAACAAAAACGGCAGAACGGAACCGGTAACAAAAACGGCCCTGTGGTTTCCAGGGCCCACTACTAAGCCCGAGAGGCACCCCAAGAGACCCTCACATTCATAGGGGGAAAACAAACCTACCTCGCTTTTGACCACCCTCGCTTCCAAGAGATACCAAACGATGCCAAACTACGGCCTGTACTGGTCAGGCCGCTTGACGAGGAGGCGCCTGGTATGGCTTGGTTTTGCCTGGAAGCGAAAGCGGGGTAGGTAACTCACGCTGTGAATTCAGCTGAGAGGCCCCTGCACCAGTCCGGGCAAGGCGGCGGGATGGGCCAGGGGCCACCAGCAGAGCACGGCCTCTCGAAGGTCTGCGCGGGCCTCGTGGGCTGGCGCCGGGCGCCCCCGGCGACACCCTCGGGGCGCCGCCCTCGGCGCGCCGTGGGGCCAAATGCCGATCCGAGGAATCCGCGCTGACCTCCGAGAATGGATGTCGATGGGCCTGTTTTCCACCACCACCATAAGTTGGAGGGGGAGGAGGAGGAGGAGGAGGGGGAGGAGGAGGAGGAGGAGGAGGAGGAGGAGGAGGAGGAGGAGGAGGAGAGGAGGAGGAGGAGGAGGAGGAGGTGGTGGAGGAGGGGGGAGGAGAGGAGGAGGGAGGTGGAGGAGGAGGAGGAGGAGGAGGAGGAGGAGATGGAGGAGGAGCAGGAGGAGGTGGAGGAGGAGGAAGATCCCCTCCCACTCCAACTTATGGTGGTGGTGGAACACATGCCCATCAGACGTGTCACTCTGTTCATGCCGACTCTGACTGCTGTCGTTGGTTGTGTGATTGTCGACCCCAACACAAAAAGACATGACTGCCCATGTTGGACAGCAATCGACAACTCGCTGTTGCGAAACTCTAAACTGCGAACCACGTCTACGTCGCAGAGCGGGGCGGGCTGGGAAGGGGCATGCCATTCCTTCAAGAGAACTTTGCTACGATGTGTGCCCATCATGATCGCTGCGGCGACCTCCAAAGCCAACCCGGAGGTTTGGTTCGGCGTCGGATGCACCCAAAACTGATAGCAACGAGAAAGATGCACGCCCCTTGGACGCCCGTGCTCAAGCTTTTTCGAGCGCGGCGGGCCACTGAGATTTCTGGAGGACAGAACGAAGAGTCAAAGATGCAAGGGCACCCTTGTTTCGACTCTACCACGCAACGGCGTGTCCTGACGCCGTCGGTCCAGCCGGCCGGCATCTCCGTCAGAAGCAGGTTGGCCTGCGCGATCTCCTCCGAAGCCCTGCGCGCATCCGCCAGCAGACGGTTCGCGGCATCGGTGCCGAGGTCACTCCTCACAATCAGCGCAGCGCGCTGCACGCAGCTCTCGACCTCCGCGCCGGCCCAGATCTCGTCCATGGCCCGCTCGAAGTCGACCTCGGCCTCGTGCGACGGGCCCGAGCTATCTCTGGCGGCCAGCGGGATGTGCACCTGGAGCCCCTTTCTTATTACTCGCGATAACGCCAGTGACCGGCCCCGCCCTCCCGCCCCTGGTCACGTCACGATTCGCGCCAGCGCCATCTGGGAATGAGCCAGTCCCAGGCGATCCCAGACGGCGCCAGCGCGATTCGCGACGTGACAGGACAGGCCCCCTCAGCCCCTCCCCCCCCTGGTCATGCCCGCTATGGCCAAGAAATGAAAAAAAACGCTCTCCTGAAAGATGTAGGCGCGGCCCACGGCCAACCGGTCGCCGTCGCGCAGGCGCTCTTCGCTCCCGGTGGGGACGGCGGCGCCGTTCACGCGCACGAGGCCCTCCTCCGCCGGGCGCACTACGAGCTGCTCGTTGTCGGCGTTGTCCAGGACGCAGACCGCGCTGCCCACGCCGAGCCCCGACAGTCGCACCTGGCAGCGCTCGGCGTCGGAGCCGACCGTGGTCTCCCCCACCGGCAGGTGGTAGACCAGGCAGCCCTTGAGGGACGGGTCCGGGTGTAGGTTCACCAGCCGGGGCGCGTCCGCCACCACCGCCAGGTCCACGCCGCCGAGGATGCCCAGCCTGGCGCGCTCGGCCTCCAACGACAGCCGCTGCTCCTGGCGCTTGGCCTCGATCTGCGACTGGTCGAGGTCGAGGCTCTCCTGGACGTTCCGCAGGGCCTGCATCTGCGTGTGGAGCTCGCGCTCCCGCTCCTGCTGCTTGCGCCTCTCCTCCTCCATCAGCTCCCGCAACTCCTCCGCGTCCGCGCCCTTCTGCCCGAACGCGTCGTCGCCGTCCGGGGACGGCGACCGCGGCTGCAGCAGCAGCTGCTCCCGCTCCCTCAGCAGCGACGCCCGGTCCTGCTCCGCCTGCGCCAGCAGCTCCTCCTTCTCTCTCAGCACCCGCGCGCTCTCGGACTGCTCGGCCCGGTGCTGCTCCCGGAGGTCCCGCAGCTCCCGAAGCTGCTCCTCCGCCTGGCCGCGCTCCTGTAGCGCCAGCTCCGCCACGTGCTGTCTTCGCTCCGCTGCCTCGAGCTCGAGCTGCAGCTTCCTGCATAGCTCCTCGCTCTTGGACCTCTCCTGCTGCAGCTGGGACTCGATCGCGTCCTTCTCGGCCTCAAGCTTCTTGAGGATGTCTACGCGCGACTGTTCGTTCTTGTGAGCGCTGGTCTGCACCAGCTTGCACCGCGCGGCGAACTCCAGAGTGCTCACGGACTCCTCAAGGTTGAACCTGGAGGGGCTCACGCATGCCAGCAGACCAGTGCGGCTGTTTCCCATCAGAGCGTCCCTGAGCAGCAGCGTCAGCTTCGAGTCCCTGAAGGGCACGTGGGACGTGCTGCCAGGCTTCGACAGGTCGGAGATCACCCTGCCGAGCGTCGTGAGCGACTGGTTGATCCCGATGCCCTCCTTGAGACGGGCACCCGAGGCGCCGGTCTTCTTCTGCTTCTCGCTGCCGGCCAGGTCCACAAAGTGCACCTTCGCCTGGCTCTCGACCACCCCGCCCGCCGCGGGCGCGGCCATGCGGACCTGCACCGAGAACACGGCGTGGGAGCGCGAGGAGGCGGCGTTCATCTGCGTGGTGCCGACGGCGCGCCGGCGGGCTCCCAGGTTGAACAGCTCCAGGGCCTCGGCCAGGGTCTCCATGGGGCTCTCAGTGAGGTTCACGACGATGGGGCCGAGCTGCGGATGCAGCCGGACCTGCAGGTCTCCGGAGCCGTCGCGGCTGAGGAGGTCGTGCACCTTCTCGTTGTAGATCTCCAGGTAGCTCGCCAGGACGCTGGCCCGGAAGCCACCGTCGGCGCCGCGGCGCTCAGCGAGGAGCGCGAAGAGGTACTCGCAGGCCCGCGGCAGGATGCCCTGACCTTCGGCGCTGCCCACGTCCCCGACGACAGAGTCCGCCACCGTGCCTCCTGACAGGTGGAGGCGTGGAAGGATGCCAAGTGCCGCCCAGCCGGGATTCTGTTCTCTTCTGAGGGACCCACCCGCCCCTCACGTCGCGCTCACTTGCGTGAGCACCCCATGTACTCCTGGAGTAGGAGGGAAACAAACCTACCTCGCTTTTGACCACCCTCGCTTCCAAGAGATACCAAACGATGCCAAACTACGGCCTGTACGGGTCAGGCCGCCCGACGAGGAGGCGCCTGGTATGGCTTGGTCTTGCCTGGAAGCGAAAGCGGGGGGCAGGCAATTCACGCTCTGACTTCTGAGGGACCCACCCGCCCCTCACGTCGCACGCACTTGCGTGAGCACCCCTGTACTCCCTGGAGGTCCCTGTGCACGGCCACGGCGCCTCCGAGGGGGCCACGGTGGCCGGACCTGTGCCGCAGGCCGGCCGCATAGCTCTTGCCGGAGCCCGTCTGCCCGTAGGCGAAGATGCAGCCGTTGTAGGCGTTCAGCGCGTTGTCGAGCAGCGGGGCGCCGATGGCCTCGAAGACCTCGGCCTGTGCGGCCCCGCTGCCGAAGACGTGGTCGAAGCCGAAGGCCTTCGCCGGGCGCCCCTCGCCGGACGCGCCGGCGCCGACGGACACCGAGTGCTCGGCGAACTCGAGGGCCTGCTGGGCCCCCGACTCCTCCGAGAGCTCCCGGCTGCTGAAGGGCCTGCACCGGATCGCCACGCGGATGCTGTTGGCCTGGCGGGGTGCGCAGGTCGCTGAAATGCAGAACATCTCTATGAGGGAGACCGGCGGGGAGAACCCCGAACAGTGAGACAGCATGCAACCATGTGCTGGCGACGACTGGATGCTTTGTGGCAGCCGAGTCGGCAACAGTGGGGAACAGCAGAAGCTAAGAGAATTCCCAATTACACATCATACAACATCGAGGTAGAAGCAATAGGGGACACTTGTCTTCTGCCTCCTCTTGCAGATTCGCGTAGCCTGACGAGACCTTGCGGCTCTCATGGAACTCGGCACCTGTTCAACTGTCGCAACTTTCGTGTGGTCCTTTGAGATCCAGCGGAGAGGACTTGTACGCACGTCCAGGCGAGACCTTGCGGCTGCCCCGGGGGGCTGCCACCTGCGCCAGTCGCCACTTCCGTGCGCTCGTGGGAGATCCCTGGAAATTACTTGGAGGCAGGGTCCCCTGGGCCTTTCAAAGAGGCCCAAGAGCCAAAAAGGCCAATAAACGTATAAACACTCGGGGTGGACAGCGTTCCGAAACGTCAATCCTCGAACCCTCCCCCTCCCCAACCTCCCCCTCAACACGATCCTTGTGGTGAGCTCCGCAGTGGTCGGGGATCTACTGACCCGGGTCAATCCAAACCAAGGGTCAGTCGGGCGTTGCGGCATGCTACAGGATCCTGCAGGATCCTGCGCGCTAGCCTGGGTCAGTGCAGGATCATGCATTGACCCAAGCCTCAAGGCTGCTGCAGTGGTCCCTAGACCAAGTCCTGGCTTTGTCTGTTCATGCTCCTGCGGCCACTGACCTCGGGAGGCAGAGACTTTCAACAAACTGGCCGCGTCTTGCATTGCGGATGATATGCGTCGTCCATGGATGTCTAGGGAGGCCTCCAACAGCCCAACTGGAGCTCCACCCAAAACAACTATCTGACCAGCGGCGAACATGACTGTATCCGCTCCCTTGCGGCTTGGATTCCAAGCGCGATATCGCTGATACGCAGTCGCACGAATACGCTCCGCGAGGGGCATCCGCGAAACAACGCCCCGTATCCGCGGGGTTTGGGCCCAGGGGCCCAGCCTGCGAGGCCGCGGATCCGTCCCCCCTCCCAAGCATCTGGCGTCTCGAATCGTTCGCGGCACGGGGCCCAGGACCCAGGGGGGGGGTCTTCGAGCCCGATTCGTCCTCTTACGGCGCCGTGGTCCTCCGACGGCGACGGGGCCCGACGCGGCACTTCCAAAACAGAGACCTTTTGGAAACCTGGCCGCCCCACTTCACCTGCTTCGACAACGGAAACCTCCCCCTAGCAGGGTGGTCTCGGAGGCCCCCAGAGGCCTCTGGAAGCCCAAATACATAAAAAACAAAAGTCAGATCATCCTCGTTTCTCCCCCAGTGCGTCCCCAAGCCACTTCCTAGACGTGTTCGAGACATGGTCCACTTCCCTCAGATCCGACTTTGCGAAGAAATACGGCACCGTGAAAATTCACGGCCGGAGCCCGGTGTTCAAAATTGCAACGCCTGGATCTGAGGGCTCGGCGGAACAAGATCTCGGGCGGAAACGACGGAAGGGCATCGGCGTCGGCAGGCATGTGCTGGATCGAATCGCGAAATCGGGCCAGATCTAAACTGATCCGACAGTGCCTGAGTCGACGCAGAATCAGGTCGGGATCGGATCGTTCTGCGCTGGATCGAATGGAATCGAGGCAGGAACCGAAGTTCGGAGGCCCTCCTCTGTGACCCCCTTGAAGGGGGGAACGTCACGGGAGGGGCACTGCACCAGGGGGGCCAGGGGGGGGGGGCCTTGAGCGGGAAGTGCAGGCACACCGAAGATAGAGCGGAGGTAGACCCCCGATCGCCGAACCGCACGCTTCTAGGCGGGCCAGGGCACCCAGGGCCCCCATCGGCGATGAGTGGGCGACTGGGGGTCGATACCCCTTCCCCATGAGCCTATCCCCCCCCAGCTGGAGGGGAAGAAAACGGGGACCGTGGCCAAGACCTCACAGGGAAACGTCGTGTAAGTCTTGGTCACCGTCGGTCCTGGTCAGCGTCAAATCGCGGACCGTCCCCGCGAATCGGCGACGGCCGACACGGACGATGACCAAAATCGGCATCGACAAGATCCCGCGACACCACCTTGCTCATGGCTCCCGTGCTTCTTCCCTCGACTAGCGATGCCTCTGCCTAAGACGAAGCCAGGACGAGGATAGCATCGGGCGGGGATACATCGAGGATCTCTGAGATCTGGCGGCTCTGGAGGATGTCGCGGGCGTCGCGGCCGTCTCAGGGCGTAACGCTCTGCAGCGGATGTGCCCGCGTCCTAACCCCGCCCGAATGACCCCTCTCCCCTGGCGTGGGGGGTCCCGGATCTACTGACCCGGGTGAGTCTGAGCCCGGGCCAGTCAGGCTTAGTGAACCCCACCCCCCCACACAGAAATCGTGGGGGTAGGGGTAGGGTTCGCGTGTGGCCCCCTATCTTGAGCCCCGAGGGGGGGCAGCGCGCCGCGGCCCCGGCTTCGCCGCGGCCGGCCATCCGGCCCGTGCCATGCGCCGCGGCCGCTCGCGCGCTCCCGGCCGGGGCGGCGGGGGGCGGCCAGGGCCACGGCGCTCCTGCGCTGGAGGTGCGGCCCCCCGCCGTCCCGGGAGGAGGGCGAGGAGAGGGAAGGAGGAAGGCAGGGGGGAGGGAGGGAGGGAGGGAGGGATGGAGGGGAGGGGGGGAGAAAAGCTAGGTGCGCTCGCGTCAGAACTGACGTCCTAAGCCCTCCCTCCCATCCCTGACCATGGCGTAGATCTCCTCTCTACTCGCACGGTCGGATGTCGAGCATGGCAATGATCCCGAGGGTGCGCGATGCATCGTAGAGCACGGCATAGCAGGGCGTAGAAGAGCACGGCAGAGCGTAGTATGTCATAGCATGGCGTGGCGTTGCGTAGTGAAGAATTGCATCACAAAGCATTGCAACGCAAATGGTGGCATCGCACAGCGGCACAGAACAGACCAGGGCATAGCATGGCGTTGAAGGTCAAAGCGTAGCATGGCATAGCATAGCGTGGCACTGCATAGTCAAGCACTGCGTATCCTAGCATTGCGGCTGAAAGCATGGCATCGCACAGCGGAACACCACATAGCATTGCATTGCATTGCATGCCGTGGCATGGTACTGGAAATAATGACGCCAACGCTACAGCGGGAGCACGATTCGGAACGAGCGGAAAAGCGGAAATGAGGCCAGCGCTGCAGCCGGAGCACGATTCGGAACGAGTGGAAGCCCGAAAATGAGGCCAGCGCTTCAGCGGGAGCACCATTTTGAACAAAAAATCAAAAGATAACCCAACCCCCAAGAATCCGGTGTAAAAATCTACGCTGGAAGGGGCCGAACATCTTCCGGACGTCATCAGGGGACAGAGGAGAGTAGGTATTCACGCCTGCGAAGCCCCAGGATGTCAGCGAGATCAGCATCCCCAAGGAAGAACACATCTTTCTGGAAGAATGGTAAATCCTCCCGAATTCCATTTCCACAGCCATCTCGCATTGGGCAACATAACACTTGGCACGCCCTGGAAAACTGGGGACGATGCCCGACGGAGAATGCTGTGCCAATCGACAGCGGCAGCTGTCGGGAAGGCAGCGTTCGTGTCAATCGGACCAGTGTCCGCGGCGGCACCAAAAGCGATCCCTGTTCACAATTGGCAGGAACTGCTGGTGTTCCCCTTTTCCATTCTTGAGGACCGCGGTTCACTTCAGCTTGTTCCTGCAGTGAGTAGTGGGGGCGGGGGGAGGGGGAGCAGGAGGAGTGAGGAGCACGAAGAGGAGCACACGGAGGCGGGCGGAACGGGGGATAGTAAGGGGAGATAGTCAGCTGCAGGCAGCGGGTGTCCCGAACGGCTGGGCGGCAGGGCCGGAACCAACAACATGCTGCATATGTCCCTCTTCCCACCCCCCCCTAGGACGGGACTAGGGCGAGGATAAATCCGTCCCAAAGCGTTCAGGACCGCTCTCAGATCCTCCAGAAACGCGGGATCCCAGAGATTCT